CCACCAGGCAGGCTTTGTGTGAGCAACATGGCTGTTTATTCCCTGGGTGCAGGCAGGTTGAGGCTGAAAAGGGCGTCAGTGAAGGGTGGTGGGGTAGGAGTTGTTTCCATAGGTTGGAGCAAGTGGTCAGCTAAAGGTGGTAATTATCTTGGGGAGGGGGGGGCGTCACGGGATGCATGATCACAAGGTAGGGTCATTTATTACAATCAGGCATGATCATAAGGGTGGGGGGTATCTGTTACAGTCAGAAGGGAGGGTACGATGATTATATAGTTACAGGGTGGGGGTCTTGAGAAACTCAATGTCTGGGGGAAATTTTTGCAAGGCTGAACAGGAACAATGGGTACAGGTTTGCAGAGCGATTAGTTGAGGCAGGAACAAGTTGTTTTACTTCTTTCTGTGGCCACCTGGTCATTTGTGGTTACTTTAGACTTTCTGGCTCCTGAGGACTTTCCAGAGGTGTACGTGCAGGTAACCAAGGCTAAAATGGCCAGGCCTGGACTTGGAGGCCTAGCAAGAAGGAACACACAGGTCTGCTGGGGCAGAGAGGCTGTGGATTGCATTTAGTCTTTCTGTCAAAAGTAAAACTCAAAGAGCTGTTTTTCAAAGAGTCTTTTAAAGCTGGGCTTAAAAATGCAATTGTCCTGGTTTCTGAACTCCACTGAATCCCTCTGGGGATGAAACAGAAGCTATCAGCTTCTCATGCCAAGCTGCCTCAGCACCTTTAGAGGATTCACAAGCCTTTTTCTAATCTAAGATGTGAACTAGAAAGTGTTTGTGATTCAAGCTAGAATGAGTTAAAAGTTGGCAGAAGAAAGATAATGAGAGGTAAGAGTTGTCAAATGGTTCTCAGGAGTATAGAAGAATGAACTCGGCCAGACACGATGGCTCATGCCTGTCATCCCAGCACTTTGGGAGCCTGAGGTGGGTGGATCATGAGTCTGAGATCAGCCTGACCAATATGGTGAAACCCTCTCTTTACTAAAAATACAAAAATTAGCCGGGCGTGGTGGTGTAAGTCTGTAGTCCCAGTTACTTGGGAGTCTGAGGCAGGAGAATCACTTGAACCCAGGAGGCGAAGGTTGCAGTGAGCCGAGATTGTACCACTGCACTCCAGCCTGGGCCGCAGAGCCAGACTCTCACAAAAAAAAGAAAAAGAAATAATCTCTTTACTGTTTAATGTTTCACTTCAGTTACTTAGAGAGAAGCATAACGCAGGTTGAGTATCCCTTTTCCAAAATGCCTGGGATCAGAAGTGTTTTGGAGTTTAAATTAAAAAAGGTTTTGGAATATATTTGCATATACATAATCAGATATGTTGGGAATGGGACCCAAGTCTTAATGCAAAATTTATTTAGTTTCATGTGTAACTTACACGCAAAGCATTAAACAAATTAAAAAGTGTTTTTCTGAGACAAGGTTTTGCTCTGTCACTTAGGCTGGAGTGCAATGGTGCGATCATAGCTCACTCTAGTCTCAAACCCCTGGGTACAGGTGATCTTCCTGCCTCAGCCTCCTCAGTAGTTGGGACTACGGGCGTGCCACACAGACCTGGCTAATTTTTGATTTTTTTCTAGAGACAGAGTTTTGCTATGTTGTCCAGGCTATGAAGGTGGTTTTATACAATATTTTAAATAATTTTGTGCATGAAACAGTTTCAATGGCATTTTGATTGAAACCTGTCACAGAAGGCCAGGTGTGAAATTTTCCACTTGTGGCTTAGAAAATTTTGGATTTTGGAGCCTTTCAGATTTTGGATTTTTGGATTAGGATTGCTCAACCTGTAGTAAAAAATAGTTGGCTGGCAGGGGAGTCTCTATCCTTGCAGACTGGCATCTGCAGATGTGACCACACGGTGGCGCTGCTATTCCAATGTTGGGGACACATGCGAAAAAGAAAAAACCCAACTTTTTTTTTTTTGAGACTGAGTTTTGCTCTTGTTGCCCAAGCTGGAGTGCAATGGTGCGATCTCGACTCACCACAACCTCTGCCTCCTGGGTTCAAGTGATTCTCCTGCCTCAGCCTCCCGAGTAGCTGGGATTACAAGCATGTGCCATCCACGCCTGACTAATTTTGTATTTTTAGTAGAGACGGGTTTCACCATGTTGGTCAGGCTGGTCTCCAACTCCCAACATCAGGTGATCAGCCCGCCTTGGCCTCCCAAAGTGCTGGGATTATAGGCATGAGCCACCTCGCCCAGCATAAACCCAACTTCTTAAGTGGTGAAACAGTAAACTCCTAGAAATATAAAATAAGGTTTAACACTTATTGCAGTAATGTTTTAAAACTTTGCCTTTTGCATAAAAAAATCATGGTAAAATGCACATGACATAGAATTTAACTACTTTTAAGCGTGCATTTCTGTTGCATGCCGCATATTCATGGTTGTACAACCATCCACACAACTCTTTTCTTTCGAAACTGAAACTCTGAATCCATTGAGCAGTAACTACCCATTCCCTGCACCCCCAATCCCACCCTCTGGCAATCACCATTCTACCTTTTGTGTCTATGAATTTGACTACCTTAGTAGTGGAATTATACAATATTTATCCCTGCGTGACTGGCTTATTTCACTCAGCGTAATATCTTCAAGGTTTATCCATGGTTTAGCACGTGTCAGAATTTATTTATTTATTTTGAGACGGTGAAGGAGACCCAGGCATCTGAGATCAGCTCCCCCTTTGACTATCACACTGCATTTCAATAGAAGAAAAGGCTGACGGACTGGCGCGTCCTGTTTCACCTTCCTGTAGGTGGCAGGCTTGATCTTGGGGAAACTCTCTGGAAGATGCTGTTTTTGCTTAAAACAAGATCAAACCCGAAACCTTTTCACATGTGAGTCCTAAAACTGTAAACCGGAACGCTTTCATGTGTGAGTCCTAAGACTGTAAACCCAAGATTCTTCCATGTGTAATATCTAAAGTATAAGCCTATGTAAAGTCGGAACCTTCCTTTGTTAGATGAGCTGAGCTTTGGACCAATTATCGCTCAGGCTCCGGGGCTGGAATAAACTTCCTCCTTCTCCATTCAGTGTTAGTGAGATCTGTTTCCCGCAGCAGCTCCTGCTACAACGGAGTCTCGCTCTGTTGCCCAGGCTGGAGTGCAGTGGCATGATCTCGGCTCACTGCAATCTCTGCTGCCCGGAATCAAGCGATTCTCCTGCCTCAGCCTCCCGAGTAGCTGGGATTACAGGCGTGTGCCACCACGCATGGTTAGTTTTCATATTTTTAGTAGAGACAGGGTTTCAACATGTTGGTCAGGTTGGTCTTGAACTCCTGAGCTTGTGATCCGCCCACCTCGGCCTCCCAAAGTGCTGGGATTACAGGTGTGAGCCACTGCACCCGGCCAGAATTTCTTTATTTATATTTTTTGAGATGAGTCTGGCTCTGTCACCCAGGCTGAAATGCAGTGGCTCAATCATAGTAGCTCACTGCAGCCTTGAACTCTTGGGCTCGAAAGATCCTCCCACTTCAGCCTCCTGAGTAGTGGGATTATAGGCCCATGCCACTACACCCTGCTAAATTAAAAAAAATGTTTGTAGAGATGGGGATTTTGTTATGTTAGCTGGGCTGGTCTCAAACTCCTGGCCTCAAGTGATCCACCTGCCTTGCCCTCCCAAAGTGCTGGGATTACAGGTGTGAGCCATTGTGCCTAGCCCAACTAATGTTTCTTGAGAGCCTACTCTGGGCTAAATGCTCTTCTATGTTGCAGGGTCGCAGCACTGAGCAAGTCCATGAAAAGCCTCACTTCCCTGGGACCTGCGATCTTAAGGACTCTGTGGGGTCATCTACTGAATAGAATATGTTGGACAGGTGCTGGGGGTAACTGGGGAGCAGTGGAGATGGGGCTCAAGAGAGTCCTTGGGGGGGCCTCTGTTGAATCCCTATCTACCCCGCAAGTGGTGACTTCTACTTAGCCCTAACAGGGAGAGAATGCAAGTTTTCTTAGAGAGCCCTAACAGGTTACCAAATGCAAATGATTGTAAAACTGATAGATGAATCGCATTGTTCCTTACTTTTTGATGAGCTGTTTCTTGAGACTTTTCCAGTGTTTACACAAAAACACTAGCCTTCCTCTGTCATGAGTGTAAGGGCAAAGTTGAGGAGTCTGGGCCAGCTGTGTGCTGGGTTCTGTACAGGATGTTAGAGACACAGAAATGACAAACCCACGGGTCCTGCCTAGCCTGGTGCAGCAGGGGAGATAGACAGTGTCCCCAAACAAAGATTACAGAATATTTCTGCATGGAGGTGGTGCCCAAGAGGGCCTGGTGAGCTCTACTTGGTAAGTCAGAGAAGGCTTCCTGGAGGAGGAGTTTACTCTCCTCTGAAGTCACATCCTGGAAGATGAGCTGAAGGGCATGAGATGGATGCCTGGACTGGGATTCCAGGGACTCAGCACATGAGAAGCCTGGAGATGGTCATGTGTGGAGCTCAAAGGTAGGTGCAGGGGGTTTGGACCTTTCGTATCTTGTACTGCTAAAACAGAGGCAGGTCTGTGATGCCAGGAATGTACCCCAGGGGTGCAGAGTAGCAAGAGCTTTGGTTCTGGAATCAGAGGGAACTGGGTCTGCGTTCATTTGTACTGATATAACCAGATGCCTTAGAATGGGTAATTTATCAACAGCAGAAGTTTGTTGATCACAGTTCTGGAGGCTGGGAAGGCCAAAATCAAGCACCAGGAGGTTTGGTGCCTGATGAGGACCATTCAACACAGACACCAACTTTTTTTTTTGCGTTTTATACTTTATTTAACATTAACAAAAGGATACATATAGTTACAGGCAAATGACAATTCAGTACACTTATTCAGATAATAGTTTAAAATTTACATCCTTCACCACCGTGGAATATTTGAGTCTGTGTAGTCAAAGTCTTCTGGAATTCCAAAAGTTTTATCAATTTTATTTTCTTCAAACCCAAATTTTCTTTCGGCCCAAGATTTTGTTGCAAATACGTTATCAGTCCGTCTGTCAGCAGTTTCTTGGCTGCTTTATATGCTTGGCGTATTTCTTCCACGACTTGTGGGTCACAATCTTTGTATTTTTCTACTTCCGCCTTTAGCTGTTCCCTTTGGTCTCAAAGTGAAGACAGTTCTTTTGCTAGCGTGGTTCGCTCTTCCGTTTCACGTCGGTCTATTTTAGCTTTTTCAGTGCTTTTCTGTAGGCTTGCATGCTTTTGGCTTCCCTCAGACAACTGAGATTCCAGAGCCTCCAACTTACGTTTCCTTGCATGAAGAGCTTTACTTGGCAAAGCCCAATAATAATTAGAAGTTCCAACCCTCTCACAGTCAGCCATACCATCATCCACTAAGCTTTGAAGGACTTCTTTCACTGACATAGAAGTAACGCCTTTCTCTTTGGGAGCAATCTTCTCCAAGTCTTTTAATTGAAATACATCTTTTGTTTCAAAAAATATTTGCATCATGCGAGTTCTCTTTTCTTTTGCACTCAATCCTTTTTTCTTTGACATGGCACCGGTGTGGGGACCTCCGCTGCGGTGCCTGTGCACAGGGCGAGGGCTTCTTTTGTTTTTTTTTGAGACTGAGTCTTGCTCTGTCACTCAGGCTGGAGTACAATGGTGTAACCTCAGCTCACTGTAACCTTCACCTCCTGAGTTAAAGCAATTCTCCTGCCTCAGCCTCCTGAGTAGCTGGGAATACAGGCGTGTGCCCCATGCCCAGCTAACTTTTGTATTTTTAGTACAGATGGGGTTTCACCCTGTTGACCAGGCTGGTCTCGAACTCCTGCCCTCAGGTGATCCACCCACCTTGGCTTTTCAAAGTACTGGGATTATAGGCATGAGCCATCACGCCCAGCCACAGACAGCAACTTCTATGTGGAAGGGGCATGACGGAAGGGGCAAAACAGCTCCCTCCAGCCTCTTTTATAATGCCACGAATGCCATCCATGAGGGCAAACCTCTTGACTTAAATCACATCCCAAATGCCCCACCTCTTAATACTATCGTTCTGGGTATTAGGTTCTATCATATGAATTCTGGGGGATACCAACATTCAGACCATAGCAGTCTGCATCTTGGCTGAGCCACTCACTTATGATTGACTTGATTTTTTATTTTTGTTGAGGTGGGCCTCACCATGTTGCCCAAGCTGGTCTGGAAGCCCTGAGCTCAAGCAATCTGCCTGCCTCAACCTCCCAAAGTGCTGGAATTACAGGTGTGAGCCACCCCACCCATCCTTATGAGTGACTTCAATGAAGTTGTTTAATTTCTTTCTAGGCCTCAGTTTGCTCATCTGTAAATGGGGATAACAGCAGATCCTTTTCCCTAGGCCTATTATGAAGCTTAATTGAGATAATGGATGTAGAGCACAGGGTATAATGCCTGGCATGTAATAAGCTCTAACATATGTTAACCTGGCATTACAGCATTACTTGATCATGTGTCAGGAGCATTTTTTTTCTTTTTGAGATGGAGTTTTGCTCTGTTGCCCAGGCTGGAGTGCAGTGATGCCATCTCGGCTCACTGCAACCTCTGCCTCCCTGGTTCAAGCGATTCTCCTGCCTCAGCCTCCCAAGTAGCAGGTACTACAGGCATGTGCCACCATGCCCAGCTAATTTTTTGCACTTAGTAGAGATCAGGTTTTACTATGTTGGCTAGGATGGTCTCGATCCCTTGACCTCATGATCTGCCCGCCTCGGCCTCCCAAAGTGCTGGGATTACAGGCGTGATGCCCTATGTCTGGCCGCCTCAGCCCAAATTTTGTATTTTTAGTAGAGATGGGGTTTCACCATATTGGCCAGGCTGGTCGCAAACTTTTGACCTCATGATCTGCCCGCCTTGGCATCCCAAAGTGCTGGTATTACAGGCGTGAGCCACCACGCCCAGCCTGGAGCATTTTTTTCTTGGTTAGTTCATTTTTACTCAAGTAGTGTTTATTTCAAAAGTGTTGCTTCTTAGCTTTATTTGTTTATTTTTATAAATTTATGGGAAACGAGCGTAATATGGTTATATGCATAGATCATGGAGTGGTGAGCTCAGGGCTTTTCGGGTATCCATCACCCAAACAATGTACCTTGTACCCATTAGGTAACTCCTCATCATCCAGGAATACTTAATTTAAAATTAATTTTATATGAAAATAAATAAATATATCAGATACCATATACTTGTGGCCAGTGGCTCTCCTGGTGTTTGCTCTCCTCTGACAGGCAGGTGTGTGGGTGGGACGTCTGGAGGGTAAGGCTCTGGACTGAGGCTTTTCTGGGGGTGGTTGAGGCATTTCTCCAGAAAGGCCTCCTTGGACGCCTAATTTCTGGGGTCCACTCACTCCAAGCTTGTGAACCTGTATATTTTCCTCTTAACTGTGGTCTTTCTGAAGGCAGGGTCCCTTCATTTCTGTGCTTCTGACACAGGCAAGAGCTGCCATCCTGTGGGCATATGATGTCACTCCAGGCCCCTCTGACTGTGCTTGGCTTCATAGACCCTTGTGATCATGTCAAGATGACAGAAAACCATTTGGTTCTGATATGGGAGTGGGGCAGGGATGTGCTGGGTAGAAGAGCAGGTCTCTGGCTAGGGTTTCACACCTGGGCCTGTGCACACGGACCTGGGTGAGGACAGGCATTTCTGTTTTCATGCCCAAATGTTGCATTTCCCACGACCATCCCAGGCTGCCACACCTCCATCCTGTGCCTATAAAAACCCTGAGACCCTAGCCGGTAGACACACAGAGGCTGGACATGGAGAGAAACACACCGGCGTAAGAGCATGCTGACAGGCAGATGCCGGCAGGCCACTGACCAGCGGAATGGTGTGGAGTTTGGCTGAGGCAACTGGAGGAGAGCCTGGCCACTGGGCAGCCTGACTCCGGCTTTCCCACTCCATCCCCCTTCTGGCCACCCCATCCACCCTGCTGAGAACTACCACTCAATAAAAAACCTTGCACTCATTCTCCAAGCCCACATGTGATCCGATTCTTTCAGTACACCAAGACGAGAACCCCAGGATACAGAAAGCCCTCTGTGCTTGTGGTAAGACAGAGGGTCTAATAGAGCTGATTACACATGCCACCTACAGACAGCAAAACTAAAAGAGGACTCTGTGGCCGGGCGCGTTGGCTCACACCTGTAATCCCAGCACTTTGGGAGGCTGAGGCAGGCAGATCACAAGGTCAGGAGATCGAGACCAGACTGACCAACATGGTAAAACCCCATCTCTACTAAAAATACAAAAAATTAGCTGGATGTGGTAGCACGTGCCTATAATCCCAGCTACTCGGGAGGCTAGGGCAGGAGAATTGCTTGTACCCAGGAGGCAGAGGTTGCAGTGAGCCAAGATTGTGCCATTGCACTCCAGCCCAGATGACAGAGTGAGACTCCATCCCCACCTCCCCCCAAAAAAGAAGACCCTGTAACACACACCCTCTGGGGCTTCAGGAGCTGTAAGCATTCATCCCCAGACGCTGCCAAGGGGTCGGAGCCCATCTGCATGCACCCCTAGAGGTTTGAGCAGCAGGACTCTGAAGGAGTGAGCCATTCTCCCTGTTGCAAACCCTGTGAAGGGGACAAGGGAATCGTTCCCCCTTCAGTTCCAGATTCCAGGTCCCAGTGCACTGTGACATTTCAAAAGCATGCATATCCTTTTGACATAGAGTATCCACACCACAAAAAAAATCCTGGGTTACATGGATTTTATAAACCAGGCAGGGAGAATTAGGCCTCTAGCAACAAGACCACAAACCCTGAGGATGTAGATAAATGCAGAACGCGGTAGATTAGGAAGGCGTGATCCACTCAAGGACAAAACAAAGAAAAGCAGAGTTTAGAATCCTGCAGGCTGTCACTGCTTACAGGAAGCGCCAGTCCTTATGAGCTGTTGCAAAAGCTGGGACTTTCTGGTGTTTCAGCTGCTGATGTCATTTTTTTTTTTTTTATCGAGATGAAGTCTCGATCTGTCGCCAGGCTGGAGTGCAGTGGTGCGATCTCGGCTCACTGCAGTCTGTGCCTCCAGGGTTCAGAAGTGATTCTCCTGCCTCAGTCTCCTGAGTAGCTGGGATTACAGGCATGCACCACCACACCCAGCTAATTTTTGTATTTTCAGTAGAGACAGGGTTTCACTATGTTGGCCACGTTGGTCTCAAGCTCCTGACCTTGTGATATGCCTACCTCAGCCTCCCAAAGTGCTGGAATTACAGGCGTGATCCACTGTGCCTGGTGATTTCATGGCTTTAATGGGGCTTCTTGTACCTCACCCTGCCTTCCAGTGCACCCAGTGGAGACCGAGGGACAGTGGCCCTGGGGACCAGTAACTTGAGAAGGAGACACAGGTCTGAGGCCAGTGTGACCAGGGGTCAGGGGCCAGCTGGGCAGGAGCAGGGCTAGCTCTTCAGGTCAACGGCGCTCCCGGCATTGGGGTTAATGTGTGGAGCGTGTGTCCCTGCCCAGACTGCCTGTTCAGCTTCCTCCCTGCATCTCCCCTCAGGGGCCAACAGGGACCTCAAACACAGTCCATCCCAAACTGAGCCTTTTTTAGTTCCTCTTTCTACACTGCGCGTTTAACCCACTCCAGCCCCCTCTTCTTGGCTCAGTTAAACTGCTCTCACTTTCTCAGCCGCATCCAAAGCTTCTTCGGGAAGCCTTGCTTTCCCTACCCAGAGGCCCTCCCCAGCCAGTGCTGAACTGATGGTTCAATTTTATTTTTTATTGTTTGTAGAGTCAAGGTCTCACTATGTTGCCCAGGCTGGTCTCAAAACTGGCCTCAAGCCATTCTCTTGTCTCTCTCTCCCTAAGTGCTGGGCTTACAGGTGTGAGCCACTGCACCTGGCTCAAAAAGTACTTTTTTTTTTTTTTTTTGAGACCGAGTCTTTGCCCTTGTTGCCCAGGCTGGAGTGCAGTGGCACGATCTCGGTTTACTGCAACCTCCACCTCCTGGGTTCAAGCAATTCTCCTGCCTCAGCCTCTGAGTAGGAGGGATTGCAGGTGCCCACCACCATGCCCAGCTAATTTTTTTTGTATTTTTAGTAGAGATGGGATTTCTTCGTGTTGGCCAGGCTGGTCTTGAACTCCTAACCTCAGAAGACCCACCCGCCTCAACCTCCCAAAGCGCTGGGATTACAGGCGTGAGACACTGCACCTGGCCATAATCTGCTTTTAATCTGACATCTCCTCACTGTCGTCACAGCCACTTCCAGTCCCAAACACCATCGTCACCTCTCTTCTGACACTTTGGCACCAACGTCCCCTGCCCACTCTCACCCCTAAAGGTTCATTCTCATATAGCAGCCTGAAGGTGACTTTAAAAAATGTGTATCAGACCATGTGTTGCCTTGTTTAACTCATCAGTGATTCCCCCATTTCACAGAGGAGAAAACTCCTCAGGACTTCCATGCCCCTGAGGCCCTGTGATCTAGCCCCTCCCTCTCTCTCTGGCCCTGTCCTCTGCTTCCTCTGCTTTTACTCACTGGCCTTCTCCCTCTTCCCCAGCACATACCTGCTGTGCAATATGTGAGCGAATGAGCCAGAAGGAGGCAGAGAGAGAGAGCCTACGGAGGAG